ATAAATCATATAGTTCTATTAGCCTACTACCAATCATGTCAAAGGTTTTTGAAAAACTACTGTTGGATAAGTTACAACCAATTGTTGCAAAACGTCAACTAATACCTAACCACCAGTTTGGATTCAGACAACAACATGCCACCACTGAGCGAATACAAGAATGGAGTCTTTAATTTTATTTAATAAAAATACTGTTCATCAGCATTTTTGGATATTTCTCAAGCCTTTGATAGAATTTGGTACATTTAACTACCCTACAATATATATAATTTAGCTCTCCAGGCCTAGAAGGCTCATGGCTTGGTTTACTATTCTTTTCCATTCTTTTCTGTTTGTTGCATTATTTTTCCAGTTTGGTATTTTAAGTTTTTCTATGTCTTTTTCAACAACCTTCTTCCACCTGGTTTTCGGTCTTCCTTTCTTTCTTTTCCCTCCTATTCCTCCCATTAGCATTCTTTTTGGCAGTCTCGTGTTTCCCATCCTTTGGATGTGTCCCAACCATCTCATTTTTTGTGACTTTATGATCCCTACGATATTCGGTTCTCCATACATCTCCTATAATTCCATATTTTTTCTTTTTATCCATATACCATTCCATATTTTACCTCCAAATATTTTCTTGAGGACTTTTCTTTCCCAGACTTGCAGCAGGACTTGCTCGGATTTGTTCATTGTCCATGTTTCATTGGCATATAATACAATAGGTCTTATTACTGTCATATATTCTTATCTTAGCCCTTCTAGATATGTTTTGCTTCTTAATAAACTGTTTAGGGCAAAAATACAACGGTTACCGGCCATAATTCTCGCTTGGATTTCTTCCTTCATATTTGGTCTTCTCGTGAATGTCGCTCCTAAATACTGGAATATTTCTACTTCGAATTTATATGTTTTTTCATCTGTTATTACTGTCAGATATTGTTCTTGTAGGTAATCTCTTTCTGTCCATTCCATATATTTGGTCTTTTCTTCATTAATGTACATCCCTTTCTTTCTCGCTTTCATTTCTAATCTTTGTGTTATTTCTTTTAATTCTTGCGTACTTCTGGCTATCAGTACAATGTCGTCAGCGAATGCTAAGCATTGGTATTTTCGTTGATATATAAGTCCTGACCTGTTGATTCCAGCTTCTCTGATGGTAACTTCGAGGACGATACTGAACAACAGCGATGACAGTGGGTCTCCTTGTCGCACCCCCTCACTGACCTCAAACTTATCTGTTTCTTCGCCATTTATTTTAACCCTATTCTCTGTTCTTCGTAGTGTCACTTTTACCATTCTTATTAGTTTTTCACTAATTCTCATTTCACGTAGTGCTTTGAACATTTCTTTGCGTTTTATCCTATCGAACGCTTGTTTAAAGTCGATGAATAGGGCCATTGTAGGTTTCCCATATTCGTAGCTTTCTGCTTGTATTTCGCGCAGTAGGAAAATTTGATTCACTGTGCTGCGCCCTCTTCTGAATCCACATTGATATTCCCCTATGTCATTATCTATATTTTGAGATAGCTTGTCTTTTATATATATTGCAAGTATTTTATATGCAACATTTAGTAGGGCTATTCCCCTGTAATTGTGGCATAAACTTTTGTCGCCTTTTTTGTGAAAAGGGCACAGTGTCGCTTCGGTCCATTCCTTCTGTAATTTTTCTTGTTCCCATATGTCTTTTAGCAACTTTTCCAAATGCTTAATTAGTACTGGTCCTCCATATTTAAACATTTCAGCTGTTAATTCATCTCTTCCTGGGCTCTTATTATTCTTTAGTTTCTCTATTATTTCTTTTATTTCTTTTTCGTTAGGCGGTCTTTCCTCTATTCGTTCTTGATCGACATTTTCCTTCACTTCTTCTTCCTCTTCATATTCTGTTGTTGGAATTTCATTTAAAAGTTCTTCAAAGTATTCTTTCCATCTGCTCAATATTTCTTCGTCACTTACTAAATTTCTTCTACTTTTGATTTTGTAGTGTACAGGTTTTCCTTGGTACCCCTTTTTCTCATTTTTCACCCCTTGATATAAGTTTCTAATTTCTCTATTTTTATAGCTCTGTTCTATACATTTTAATTTCTCTTCATTGTATTTTCTTTTCTTTGATCTTATTATTCTTTTGGCTCTTTTCCTTTGTTCATTGTATTTTCTCTCAATCTCTGTTGTTTTTTCTTGCATCATTTTCATTCTTAATTTATTTCGTTTATCTAGTTCCATTTTACATTCATCGTCGAACCATTCTTTGTATTCGTGTTTTATATTTCTATTACTGGCCTGAGCTGCTTTGGTCATACATACTTTTATTTGCATCCATGTTTGTTCAATATCCCCACTTTCTGCAATATTATCTAATCCTCTACTGAATATTCTTTTATATTTATTTTGTTCCTCTTCTGTCAGTAGTCTCACAGGTTTGGTTGCTTTATACTTTTTCTTCCTCTGGTTTCTAAGCACTGGAATAAGTTGTTTCATTTGTATTCCAATTATAAAGTGATCTGAGTCTGCATCTGGACCTCTGTATGTTCTTATGTTCTTTATACATTTTTGCATATCTTTTTCGACAAGCACATGATCAATTTGGTTTATGGTTTTCCTATCCGGTGATTTCCACGTTCCTTGGTGTATTCTTTTGTGTTGGAAGTACGTGCTCATGATGATCATATTTCTTTCTTTAGCGAAATCAATTTGGAAGTGACCATTTTCGTTCGTTGTTTCATGCAGGCTGTATTTTCCTATGGTGGGTACATATATTTCTTCTTTTTCTATTTTTGCATTACTATCACTTAGCACTATTTTTACATCGTATTTGGGGATATTTTCGAATACTGTATCTATTTGATTATAAAAGTCTTCTTTTATTTCTATACTTTTGTCTTCAGTCGGTGCATGTATATTTATAAATGTTATTTTTTGGTATTTTCCTCTTATTCTTAATACATATATTCTCTCTGAAATTGGTTTGAAGTCAACGATTAGATCTTTCAGCTTTTTATTTACCACAAAGCCTGTGCCTAACATTCTATTTTCTCCCCCGCTATTGAAAAATAAATAGTCGTTTATTTCCATTGAGTTTTGCCCTAATTGCTTTGTTTCTTGTAGTGTTACTATTTCGAACTTGTATTTTTTGCATTCGTCAGTTACGTATTTTAGTTTTCCTTCCTCGTACGTTCCTCTTACATTCCATGTCCCTACTAATATGCATTCGTTTATTACTTTGTTTCCAGTAATGATCTTTACATTTTGTTCATCTCTTGTACCTTTATCTTGTCAAGTCGTCTTCGTTATTTTAGTCTGTTTAAATTTTGCTGTTAGTTTTTTGGTTTTACAATTTTATCTTTTACTAATTGTACTACCCTACAAACATAGAGTTATTCTCTTAATTATTTCCTTATTTTTAAGTCCTACTTCTATGACCGACATTTTCTAGTAAGAAATTACGATCAGTACACAAGTCTAAATCCAATCAAGGCAGCGGTTCCATAGTTTAGTATTCTGGAAGCTGTTCTCTACCTGATATTTACAGCTGATCTACCTACGGTCAACAATATCATCACAGCAACGTATGTAGACGACAAAGTAATTTGAGCTTTACATCCAAAACCCAACGTTACTTCTCAGCTACTACAAGCCAATCTTAACAAAATACAAATTTGGCTTGGACAGTGCAGAATAAAAGTAAACGAGAGCAAGTCAATCAATATACCATTTACTAATAGAAAAAATCACACCAGTATCCTACAGAAAAAAAATTACTCAGCATAACCAAAAAGAGAAAAATACAATAGTTGGGTCATGTGTTGAGAGGTGAAATATAAGAATTACTTTAAATCATAGAGGGTAAAGTACAGGGCAAAAGATCAATTGGAAGAAACCAGAACTCGTGGCTGAAAGACCTGAAGAGATGGTTTGCCTGCACATCCAGAGAAATCTTTCGTGGAGCAGTTTTCAAAGTTACAATTGCCATTTGAATCGCACACTTTCGAAAGGCGAAGGCGTAATAAGAAGAAGAAGGATCCCACGAATACCTACCGAGAGAGACAATAGGTAGTATACCATAGGTAGTGATACCATTGGAAAATGATCCGAACGGTTTAATATCTTAAGAAATAAACTTCCAAATGAAAAAAAAAACACGTGTTTAATATATTTTTTAAATCTATCGAAGGGCACCAAACACGATCCTGCACCCCAGCCCCTAGGGATAGGGCGCAGTGGAACTTTGAAATCTTAAATAAAAACTTACATTTTTTATTGCACGTTCTTACTTTACAAAACATTCTTAAAAATTTATATTAAGTACCATAAACATTAGTATACAGACTTCTAATTTGTATTTGTTTTTCTGTGATTACACTAAACTTGTTTACTTTTTCACGTAGAATCATCATCCACAATAAAAATGTGGTTTTCCATTTAAGATTTTCCCCCACCATACCCCTATAGCTAAGTGGGCGAGGTCGTGTTTGGTGCCATTGGTTATATTTTTGAAAAATATTTGTTTCATGGTTTTCTCTTTGAGAAGTGTATTTCTTGAGATTAACTGTTAAAAAATAGTCCTTAGCAAAAGCGTCTACTTTAGTCCGTATATTTGTTTTTAAAATGTGTAAAATAAAATAAACAAATTTAATTTTTTTAAGTTTTAATTTTTTAAATAGGTACACTTAAACAGGCTTATTACCATTAAAATAGTAATTACTTTAAAATATCGCAAGAAAATAACTTCATAACAATGAAACAATATTTATATAAATAGAAATAATAACCCTTCTACCCGCCTCTCGTTACGCCCGTGCCTCACGAAATCTTTGCCAATTTAAAATTTCACTATCTATATCAATTCTCAGTGCACGAATATTGTCTCTCCTCTCTCCACACGTAAATTGTAAATAAGTAAACTGCCTGTCTCAGTTGGCTTCCATGTATCGGTATAACACCTATCGCTCCCCCCTTTTGCTGTCTAATCGCACAGCCAACAAGTGAACTTTTTTTAACTGTCACATGGCAGTCAATGGTGCGTTCAAGTAAACAAAAACTCGGTTTGTTGTGGAAAAACAAATCGGATTTCGATTGTCAACAACTTTTCGTGGTGCATCGGATCTTTTTGTGTTTGCGAGTTCTTGTGAAAATCGTTGAAAAATGTGTCTTTGCTGTGCTGGTGTTTCTGAAATGTGTGTCTCTAAAAAAAGGGGTGATTTAGTGTCTGTGATAGGACTTATCGTACCTGTTGTTTGGGTCTTGTAAGTACTATTTTTTCATATGAAATTTTTGGAACTTGCCAGAACGTATCGATGTGGTTATTACGTTTATTACAATTTTTTATTGCCGATCATTGAGTTATTGCCATGAATTACGAGGCGTCGATAAGATAACAGCTAATAATATTCTTTTATAGATATTAGTAAAAATGTCTGAAGATATTTACAATTATCGAATAAAAATAAGTTATCGTTTTACACAAAAGTTTAAGGTTAAATGGAATTTTAGTATCCATATTACAATATTTTATTTTAGGGGGTTCTGAAACAGGTTTTTTGTTGACTTTATCTAAAACGCACAAATATAGTGAGTTTTTATTATGGTTTGTTACAAAACGAGCAGAAAAATAAATTTATAAGAATGAACAGATTGCCTTATTCAAATTAGATATTTATTAAAAAAAGTTTTGCCCTTCTAAAGTCAACAAAAAATTAATCAAATGCAAGGAAAAATATGCACACAAGAATTCTAGATATTTTACATAAAAGTAGTTTAGTAGTCGATCAAGAAATCGTTAATGTAATTGTCGAAATTTCCTATCAACGCATGGGCTTAAAAACAAGAATGTACTTAAACAAACCAACCCTCCTGTACAATATCTATCCCAATCTCTAAAATTTGACAACTGATTCCCATCACATTCCTCAAAAATCTTCCCATATTTGCCGTTAAATCACGTACATTATATAACATACATGTAATATGGACCAATCAGAAATTTCCAATATTTTGGAGGGAATATATCGTTATACCAATCAAGAAACACCAGAGGTCCTCCACTAAGCCAAATTCTTACTGTCTTATTTCACTAACATGCACTTCGTGTAAGCTGCTAGAAAAACAAAATCATTTGATATCGAAATCGCTTTTGACACTCTACTACATTCTATTGTATTGACCAAATTAAAAGAATACAATATTACGGGAAATACATTCGAACATATCGAACAGTTTCTCCCTAGTCGCTTCAAAGTATTAGTTAATGAAAAAGCTTTCTCAGCCTATTCTCAGGAAAATGGGCTACCCCAAGGATTAGTTAAGTTTCACTTTATACATAATAACTGTCGATATTTGCAAGAATATTCACAACTTAGTGAAATACAACTTATATGCTGACGACTTGTTTTTATATTACCGCGGTAAAGATACGTTCACAACTACAAATTTAATCCAAAAAGCATACTTATATTAAATGGTATCAAGCCCAACCAACACGTTGACTATGTGCCTTAGTATTCAGTTTTGGACTTTTTGAAGGCAAGCATAGTTACATTTACTAGTACAGCCCCATAACTGTTAACCATAGGACCATAAAGGTGTAAGCATTTGTTTGTAAACTAACTTCTTGTATTTCAGTTTCAGTTCCTTAGTTTTATTTCTGATATGTTCATGCGTATCCAGATGCAGCCCAAGGTATTTAACTGTTTTCTTTTACGGGACGATTTTATTGTTTAGTCAAACTGGATGATTATTTATTTTTTTGTGACATCAATATGATCAGGTTACCCTTTAATAATTTTTATGTGCCATTTATTATTCTAGGTGCTGATTTTATTCCCTCCATTTTTGGAGGTGTCTAGTTGTTTCTTCCAATGTTTTATCTACTGTTAGTATTGATGTCGTCTGAAAATGTGTTGTTCTGAAAATTTTTCTTCATATTTAACTCTAAAATTTTTGCCTTTAAATTTGACTGTATTATTTAGAACTAGTGAATGGAAGGATTTTTTTTTATTTAGTAACAATCCATTGTGCCACATTTTATCCAATGCTTTTGCTAGGTCTAAAAGCTGAGCATATTATCCTTTAGACATTTTCCTGTAATATTAGTAATATGTATTTGGTCATTTGTTAACTGTTTATTACGGAATCCAAACTTTGTTGTCTATAGGTTGTATTCTTATTACGTAGCAATACCTTCTCAAATAATTTGGAGATAATTGGTAGCAATGATATTGGTAGCAATGACTATTCTACTTTATTTGTATTAGTTTCCCTGGTTTGGAAAATATGATTAGTTCAGCTGTTTTCCACGTTATTGGTATGTACATATTGTCCACATTTATAAGGTTTGTGAGTTATACCATTTTGTACGATGGCTTTTCTAGGTAGTATTTTTCGTAATATTAAGTCAAATCCCGGGAGCTTTTTTGGGATTGATATTGTTTAATATTACGATTTAAGCCAAATTGCTTTAATACAATGTTGATATTAAGAAAGATACAGGGTGTTAAAGTGCAAATTTAAAATTTTATTTTTCGCTATAACTTTCATGTTTGTAAACATTTTTGTATAAAAATTTACAACTGGGTACTTTTAAATATAAGAAATTATAATTTGATGCACACTTTAATGTAGCTGATAGAGGGCACCACATATGCCACATATGTGGCATAAATTTGCACTTACCTTTTTTGCTTTTTAAGTTACCTGTATTTGTGTCAAAAAATTAAAAAGGTACATTATTTTAACAAAAAAATGTATACTTTTTAATAACTTCAAAACCTAACAATTTTCCAGATAATCGCATTTTACAAATCAGCTGCATAATTCTGATTTAAGACAATCACTCCAGGCAACGACGGAAAAATAGACAAAAACATTATTACTTCCCGATTTTAGTAAAATACCTTTAACTAAAGTTAATAGTTAACGAAATATTAAGTAAAATAATTATATCAGCAGAATAATATTAACAATAGGATTTGACAAAATAACAGAATAATAGAATTTTACATAAAACATTTTACGTGTTATGTTAAATTAAAGTCATAATAAAAATATTTTGTTTACAAACCAAATTAAGAAATAGTTAAACTAAATAACATATTTTTTTGTCAAAGTAAGTGTTGGATATGTTCACCATTTTCTGTAATTCATTTGTCAATATATTCCATAAAGGATCGTCTCATATTAAATAGCATCATTGGTTCTGAAGAAACTGCTGCAGTATTTATTTCTTTCCATAGTTGGTTGCGAATGTTTATGGGATTCTTATATACACGTTGTTTTAATGCGCCACATACACCAAAATCAAGCGGATTAAATTCTGAGCTACGTGGTGGCTATAATGTATAGTGGATGAATATATTCTTTTGAATACATATCCAGATCTTATGGTATATTATGGAACTACATCTTATTTGCCACAGGGGTTAATAATGTATATTAGTTACTTATATATACACAGAATAACCTATCGATGACATTACTTATTTGTACGAATATGTTACAGCTTACGAGTATCTATAATTACATATCAAACAAATAGATTATTATGATTTACTAACGAATTAATATTATGTTAAACTAAATTGCCCGTGTGTTTACTATATTTATAACAGTATTGGTTATTAGACCAACGATGATGTTTTTGTAAAAATGTTGAGTCTTTAAGGTTGGATTTGTAGCAAAAGTATTATGAAACAAGACACATGTGTGTTATTCAATACCTGAATTGTCCTAATAAAAATGGATAAACAATTTACGTAATGAATAACAAGTATTCTTTTGGATTTTTATGAATTAAATACTTATATCAATATCTGACCACATTGCTAAGGAATATAACTACCACGACCAATCCAACGTTCAGAAAAGTTGTATTTAAATATGCTCTCACTGCCTTCTTTGTAGAATGTGGTGTTGTAACATCTTGCATAAGCCACATATTTTGGGTTTTCAGCATTTTACAATATAGAAAAAGTAATAAAACGCCAGTATAGAAACTTAAGAAGTGATAGAAAAGGGAAATTGTAAACATCATGACGGCCAACGTCTGAATACAGACACGACAACTAAAGAAGAAGATCAAGAAATTATTCTGCAATAAAACATTTATAGCAGCCATAATAAAACATTTTGTGATGTTACATTATCATCTTTGAGTTGTTTTAATAAGAATAAACAGAATAAACTATGAATTATGCTTATGTACAGCTAATTAGTATGCAGCTGACTTATAAAATGCGATTATCTCGATAACGGTTGAATTTTAAGGTTAATAACAAGTATATCTTTTCTTTGTAAAAAAAATGTATCTTTAATATTTTTAACACAAATACAGCTAATTTGAAGAGCAAAAAAGTTAAACGCAAATTTATGCCACACATCTGGCATATGTGGCGCCCTCTATCAGCTACATTAAAGTATGCATCAAATTATAATTTCTAATGTTCAATAGTTCAACAGTTATGAATTTTGATACATAAATATTTACAAACATGAAAGTTACAGTAAAAATTAAAATTTTAAATTTTCGCTTTAACACCCTGTATCTTCCTTATTATTAACATTTTATTAAAGCAAATAGGCTTAAATCGTAATATTTTAAAGTGCAGAATCTACGGTTTCTGTTTGTACAATTACTTAAGGACCACCCTGTATATATTCTACAAATATTATTTATTGTATTCTATATTCTACAAATATTGTTTTTGATTACTTTTGTTATTTCTACAGGGTTAGTAGGCCTTATTATTCCTTAATCTTTATTGTTCACATCGTGTTCAGTGCTCTCATCATCATCGTTGTCGACTTACCTAATAATTATTTTGAACGTTATTTCATACAAATAATCTTAAATCATCTCACAGTTCTACATGAGGTCACTTCCTTTCCTCAAGAATACTACTTCTTATAAATCAATTTTAAGTGAAATATAAAATACCTTTAACAGTTATAAAAAAAACTTTTTAAAAGAACAACGTTTCTGATCTGACTAACAAATACTTGCAATTTAAAAAAAAATCACTTCTTTGCTAAGTTTTTCTAAAATTTAAAATTAAGAACTCAATTTTTATTAACGTCATTTAATATTAATCAATAGATCATTCTAATTACCTAATTAACAAAATAAAGCGCCTATAATATAATGAGCTGATAAATGTGAACTTTTGAACGTTTAACTGCGTAGTGACAAAGAATATGTCTACTTTGTGTCAATATTATGAGCCTTTCGTTTTATATCTTCCTCCACTTATTT